GTCGACAGTGCAAAAGAAGTGTGCTAAGGACATGGCTCCTCAAGTCCAGAAGAAGACAGGAGACAGCGTCCGAACCCAACCCGAAGTGTGTGTTCTGTCTGCCTGCGCTGTGATCGCAACGATCGAGGACGGAGAGTTGACGGCCTCGGAGGTCGAAGGGTTCGCGTGTTCCTCCACACGTGGTTCAGCTTGAATTCGCCCAGGGCGCTCATCCAAACTTGCAAGATTCTAGCACGAAGAGAGAAGAAGCCCTGAATCAAGGGCCCTGGAGAGTGCACACGGAGGAACGCAGGAGATATCGATCGCAATCACTATACCTCCCCACCTAAATCACCTCTCAAGCGTAGGAAAGTCTTTTTCTGAAGACTTCAAGTCGATGGCCGGGCCCTGGCATCATACAGTCGAGTCTTCGACTCTCTCTCTAAAGAGAGAGCCTTTTCATCATCCCCTCTGTCTAAGTCTACAGAAGCGAGACATAAATCAGCTCAGAATATGCAGAACCATGAAACGAACCTGTACTAATAAAGGACCCCCGTCACCACCATCACTAGTCGAATTCTGCCCATGAGTGGCCCCCGAGTGCTCGGGCATGCAGGAGCCGCCCCGGAATGAGAGCCTCGGTGAAATGAGATGCGCCGACCTCGGGAGCAAGACAAAACTTTCAAACAGGGTTCAGGGTTTCAGGGGTTCAGGGATTTGGGGTTTTGCGGGGGGTTGAGGGTGCAGCCTGAGTCTGGGGTGTACGGGTCTAGGAGTCTAGGAGTCTAGGCTGTTTCATCGTCCCATGTCCCTCCGCAGTTCCCAGCCCCCACAACACCTACCAATCTGAGAGCTACAAGCTCCTGAGGCTTTTGGTTTTTTGGGGATCAACCATTGCTTGCCTAAAGTGGACAGTTTCTTGGCACCAGGCTTTAACTTCGAACGCGAGATACTCCTCATGCTCTCACGAGCCCTAGAAAGTTGTAGTATGCTGGGCCAGACCGGGGCTGCTTAGGCTTCTTCACATGCTAGAGAAACCGAAGCCGTGGTCGTTACTGTGCCCACATGTTGTCACGAGCGTTTGAAACCGCCTTTTGTGCTACTTCGGGCTGCTAGTACCGCTTGAAAGCAGCAAAGCTTCACTTTCTTGAGATCTGCCATATCTGCCACAGATCCTTGATGCAAAGAGCCATTGCATGCTTGTTGACTCAACCTTGAAACAACTGCTCATCTGCTCCGAGGCTTGCACCAATAGCCCCTCTTGCGAAGGGTACAGCGGCGACACTTGCTTCACGATGAAGATGCTAGAGTCTGCCATGGTTGAACATGGATGTTGGGGCCTGAATATTTCGAAGAAGTAGGCTTCGGGACATATTCCACGATTATCGGTATAATGTTCAGGCGCGCTGACGTAGCACACCGTTGAGGAAGAATACTCAGGTCGCTCCAAAGACTTCGCTGCAGCGCATGAAGAAGACGTGACCCAACTCTACTCGAAGATTTGGGGTTGGGGTTTACGGGAGCCAATATTGAATTATGATTTAGAGGGACCC